TCAGTGGCATCCCCCATGAGCATCAGTTCATGTCCTGGCTGCTCCACTCCTGATCCAGCTCCCTGCTAATGCACCTGGGAAAGCAGCGGAAGATGGCCCAAGTGCTTGGCCCTTTGCCATCCATGTGGGAGACCTGGATGGGGTTCTGGATTCCTGGCTTTGGTCTGGCCTATCCCTGGTAATTGCAGCCATCTGGGGAGTGAACCGGCAGATGGACAATCTCTTTCTCTGTGTGTGTGTGTCTCTCCCCCTCTCTCTGTCACTCCACCCTTCAAATAAAGTTTTTTTAAAAATCAGACTCACGCTACCCTCTTAGATGGAACTAATTCAGAGCCCCATGTATTTTTTCTCTTGTCTGTTTATTCATTCTACTGCTTTTCTATGTAGTGAGAACCTGAGCTGTAGAAACAGGAGCTGGTAGAGGGCTCCTCCCAGAGCTATCTTGAATTGTTTGATGTGCAGAGTCTAACAGATGTTTGAAGAGGAAGACTGTTTTTGGAAAAGACACAGAGTCCATCCGTGGATGGCCTAGAGCTGCTCAGCGGAGCACAGAGGGAGATGGGTCAGAGTCTGAATCCTCCCAGCCCCAGATTCCTGAAGGGTATGCATTTGGGATGACGTATGCCCCGCTACACACTATTGAAGAAGGCACGACTTTGGCCCTAAAACCCAGGCTGGCAGCTGGTCCCAGCTATGTACGAGCAAGGAGGGCCCTTCTGCCTCAAACAGGTGAAGGCGTCTTGCCCTTTTCATGTCTCCTTTTCTTATTTATTTATTTATTTATTTGAAAGGCAGAGGTACAGAGAGAGAAGGAGGGAGAGAGAGAGAGAGAGAGAGCACACCTTCATCCACTGGTTTACTCCCCCAAATGGTTACAATAGCCGGGGCTGAGCCAGGTTGAAGCCAGAAGCCAGGAGCGTCTTCCAGGTTTCCACATGGGTGCAGGGGCCCAAGTACTTGGGCCATCTTTAGCTGCTTTACTAGGCATTTTAACAGGGAGCTGGATCAGAAGTGGAGCAGCAGGGACTCGAACTGGCACCCCTATAGGACGCTGACACTGCAGGTGGAAGGTTAACCCTCTATGCCACAGTACTGGCCCCTCATGCCTCCTTTTCTTTGACACTTCTGTGAGGATTCTTAAGGTTGAGGGTGCCTCCCAAGAAGGAGGCCTAGGCCCTGCACAGAATTACAGATATTATAGATATACATATTTGTGTATCCAGTTATCCACCTTTATCTATGGGGGACACTCTTCAAGACCCCAGAGGATGTCTAAAACCCTGGACAGGAATCAACCCTAGTTATGTTGCTTTTTCCAACACATACATGCCCATGATAAAGATGAATTTTTTTGGCTTCGTTTTTAAATTTTTTCCCCAAGATTTCATTTATTTATTTGAGAGGTAGAGTTACAGACAGACAGAGGGAGAGATAGAGAGAAAGTTCTCCCATCTGCTGGTTCACTCCCCAAATTGCAGTAACAGCCGGAGCTGTGCCAATCCAAAGCAAGGAGCCAGGAGCTTCATTAGGGTCTCCCAAGCGAGTTCAGGGCCCAACCACTTGAGCCCTCTTCTACTGCTTTTCCAGGTCATAGCAGGGAGCTGGATCAGAAGAGGAGCAGACGGAACTCGAACCAGTGCCCATATGGGATTCTGGCACTTCAAGTGGAAGCTTAGCCTACTACGCCACAGCACCAGTCCCTGATAAAGATTACTTTATAAATTAAGCATCATAAGAAATTTACAACTAATATCAAAATAGGTAATTATAATAATATGCTGCAGTAAAAGTTATTTAACACTTAGAATCCTTTACTTCTGATAGCCTTTGTTTAATATTTTAGGGCTGTAGTTGTCCACAAGTATCAAAAACCATGGAAAACATAACCTCAGGGAGATCTATTGTATATCTTTTTTTCTTTAAACATTAAAATTTATTAACAATAATTTATATATTTATGGGGTACATTTTGACATTTCAATAAATTCTACAATGTGTACTGATCAAATCAGAGTAGTCAACATTTTGTCATTACTTTATGATTGGAGCCTTCATGCTCTTCCCTTCTATTTGCTCAGAAAATTTATAACAGGTTATTGTGAATCACCCTGTAACCCATTTATAACACTAAATAACACTAGGAACTTATTCCTTCTATCTAACTATAACTGTACATTTATATATATATTTATCTTTAGTATTGAGTCTTATTGGCATACTAATATACACTTAATATATACTAATATACACTTAATATTTAGTATTACATCTTAATGTCATTCTAATATATATTTAATAGTTAGTATAATATTGTGTTCTTACTCTATATCAGCATTCTAAACACAGCATTTTGGAGAGGAGGATTGGTTGTGGGAGTCCTTTGCTGGAGAGATCATAGGAGTTTGGCCCAGTTTCTAAGGAAAGAGAATGCGTGCATTCAGCAACCAGAGGAGGAAGACCTAAGCGAGTAGCTGTAACAGGAAGTTCAACCTGAGAGAAGAGTCAGATAAGAATTTTAGTGTGCAGTGAGAAGAATCACTATGTTCCTAAAGTTTGTACTTATGAGTGCATGACGTTTGTATTCCTTAAATAAAAGGTTTCTGGAAAGAAAAAAAAGAACTTCAGTGTAATAGGAACAAGAGTCCTCAAAGAGACCTAATCAGAGCATTGAAAAGATTTTGTGGAACCAAAAGAGGTATTAATATTAATTTAAAAAATAAAATTTTAAATTATTGAGTAGGCAATTTGCAAAAGCAAATGATCACAATCGAGAGCCAACCCAGAGACTAAGAAAACGCCAGGCTGCACAGGTGAAATGCAGAGACAGAAATCACAGGACAAAACACAACCGCTTGGAAGAAGATCCAGAGGAACAGAGGTCTACAGGGAACAGAGGAAGGGGAGTTAATAATTAAATAAACACCAGAGGGAAAAAAAACCCTCCCTGTCTGAAAGATTTGAGTCAGCAGTTTGCAAGGGATCACTGAATTCCAGATAGGGTTAATGGAAACATGACACAGCTCCTGGTAAAATCCTGAAGTCCCAGGAAGAAAGGGATAGCATGCCTATTAAATCCTTCCAAGCACCTTGTTTCTCAGGACACACTCCAGAGACACCTCACAACCAGGAAACTTATTAAACATTTGTATTCCAGAACTTCTGAATCATATCCTTCGATACGTTGGGGGAAATACAAACAGTTCAGGATGAGGCGCCAAGGGTGGCGGGGGTTGAAGTTGAAGCAGGAAGGATCATCTTGAGAAATGTACAAGGATCTCATGAAGGGAGGGGCCGCCTCCACCAACAGTCAACACGCGCTTCCTCTGTGAAGTGTTGGCAGGTCCTCACCAACACACAGAGCGAGACAATCGCCCTAAGCAGTGTTGATCTGTTTGGGGAAACCAGATGGAATGTACTTGATCAACCTCATTGCTTTTTTCCAGTTTTTTTCTTTTAAAATGTTCCAACCTTGACTTTGAACTCATAAAGTGAAAACAAAACTGGATATTCTAATGAACAACTGGATATTCTAATGAAACCACTTTCCTTACTACCTTTCACTTAACACTCACAGAATTCCAAGATCAGGCAACGAATAATGTCCAACCATAGTCCAGTTCTCACAATGGGAATGAAACCATTTCCCCAGGGAGAAGCTTAAGGGAGGCGGATTTTTGACACAGCCACACATGTTCTCATGTGTATTTTCTCAGCTTTCAGAGATCATCTGAATTTTGAAAATAAACTTTAATGAGGCATGATTTATGTAGCATAAGATGTACCCATTAAAAATACACCCATTTAAAATGTGATGAGTGTACTCACCTGTGAAAGTACTGTCACAGTCTAGGTACAGAACGCCTAGTTCATCTCAACAAGGTTCTTAGCCATTTCGCGAGCCATCTCTTCCTCCATGGGGCTTGAGCAATCAATCACAAATTTGCTTCTGTCACTATAGATTAGTTTGAATTTTCTTCATATAAATTGAAAAATATAGTATATTCACTTGCTAAGGCTTATGTAACAAATTAGTGCAAACTGGATGGCTTACAACAACAGGAATTTCTTCTCTCACATCTCTGGAGGCCAAAGTCGAAGATCAAGGTCATTGGCAAGACCACACTCCCTCTGAAGGCTCTAAGGGAGGACCCCGCCTGGCCTCTTCAGGGTTCTGGTAGACCACAGAGTTCCTCAGCCTGGGGCAGCATCACTCCAATCTCTGCTGCTGTCCTCAGATGGTTTCTTTCTGATGTCCGTGTCCCTTCTCATATTAGAATGACAGTCATTCGATTTAGGGACCATCCTAAATCCAGGATGATGTCATCTTCAGATCTGTAAATTATGTCTGCATGGACTCTATTTCAAAATAAGGTCATGATCAGAGGCATCAGGTGTTAGGACTGGAGAATAGTTTTGCAGGGATATATTACAATCTAATTATCCACTCACCTGCAGATAAGAATTTGAATTATTTTCATATTTGACTGTTAAAAGCAAAGCTTCTATGACCACTTAAGCACAAGCCTTTCCAGTTTTTTTTTTTTTTTCAAGATTTATTTACTAATTTGGAAGGTGGAATTCTTATAAACTCTATGGGTTCACTCCCCAAATGGCTGCAATGGCCAGGGCTGGATCAGGCCAAAGTCAGGAGGCAGGAACTCCATCCAAGTCTCCCATGTAAGTGGCAGGAGCCCAATCACTTGGGCCATTTTATGCTGCTTTCCCCAGGCACATTAACAGGGAGCTGGATCAGAACTGGAATAGTAGCTGGCACTGTGGCTTAGCAGATAAACCCACTGCCGCAGTGCCTGCATCCCATATGGATGCTGGTTCAAGCTCTAGCTGCTCCACTTCCAATCCAGCTCCCTGCTGGATTGGGCTCCTGCACTCAATGTGGGAGATCCAGAAGAAGCTCCTGGCTTCTGGTTTTGGATCAGCTCAGCTCTGGTCATTGCGACTATCTGGAGAGTGAACCAGTGGATGGAAGATCTCTCTCTCTCAGCCTCTGCCTCTCTGTAACTCTGCCTTTCTAATAAATAAATAACAAGGAAAAAAAGAAAAAAAGGAAAAAAGAAATGGAGTAGCCAGGACTCAAACTGACACTCAGATGGGATGCCAGCATTGCAGGTGGCACCTTAATCAGCTGCACCACAATGCTAGCCCCAAATGTGTATTTTACCCAAATGTTTATTTACATTTTTTTAAAAAAAGGATTTATTTAATTGTTGAAAGCAGAGTGACAGAAAAAGAGGGCCCCAGTGGCAGGGGCTGGACCAGGCTGAAGCTATGAACCAGGAACTCCACCCAGTTCTCCCCCATGAGTGGCAGGGTCTCAAGTACTGGGCCATCTTCTGCTGCCTTCCCAGGTGCATTAGCAGGGAGCTGATCAGAAGTGGAGCAGCCAGGGCTGGGCATGCTGACATCCCAAGTAGCAGCTTAACCTGCTGTACCACAACGCCAGCTCTGTGTAACTAACTTTACACAAAACTGCCAAGAATTTTCTCAAACTGATTGTACTAACTTACCTTCCCATCAGCAGGGTATGAGAGTCCTACTTGTCCCATGTCCTTGGTGTTCTTAATCACCTTTTTATGTAAGTCCTTTCAGTGGGTGTGTAGAGATAGCTCATCATGGTTGTTACTTGCATTTCCTTGATGACTAATGATGATGAATACTTTTTTCTGAGCTTATTGGTTATTCATATATTTTCTTTTGTGAAGTGTCTGTTTAAATCTTTTGCTCATTTTAAATCAGGCTCTTTTTTTGTCTTATTATTATAAGTTTTTGAAACTTTTTTCTAATAAGTGTGAACAATGCCATTTCTAATTTGAGGCCTAGAAAGCTCTGGCAAATGATCAACAATGATTGAGACAGCTGCCAAACCAAGACAGAAATTCTGTTTTTAACAAGACTAGTGCTAGAGTGAACAGAAAAAATTGCCAACAGTGATCTGTACAGCTGGTACCTAATGCTTGCTTTGTTGATCATTACTTCTACAATCCAAAATAAGACCCATATATCCTTGGACCATCATTCTTTCATTTATAAAATAATGGGTTTGTATAAAAATAACCAAGCTGCTTTAAGTTTCCAACTTGTAAGTAGTTCCTTTGAGAAATGATAAATGGGCACAGTGATCCTTCAAAATATGGTATATTTGATGCTCAAATGATATGTTTTTGAAAGACAGACAGAGATAGATCTCCCATCTGCTGATTCACTCCTTAAATGCCTGCAACAGCCAGGGCTGGGCCAGGACACAATCAGGAGCCAAGTACTCAGTCTGGGTCTGTCTACCACATGGTTGACTTCTCCCAACTACGTGAGCCATCGCCTGCTACACCCCAGGATGCACATTAGCAGGGAGCTGGAACCAGGAGCTGAGCTGGGACTACAACCTAGGCACTCCAATGTAAGATGTGGGTGTCCCATGCAGCATCTTAACTGCCACAGCAAACACCCCAAATTCTTTATTTTTAAAACTTTATCAGTGCTCCTGAAGTCTGAAATAAACCAAGACAGATGAAAATGTTGTCCTTGCAGAGTGGCGGATATCAGCGTGTGCAGATGAACGCCAGGAGGTTATTCTCTGATGAATGGGCTCCAGATCAGTGGAACCGTTTGCCCAGCAGTTACAGCGATTCTTGGCAGGGCTGTGATTACAGCACACAACAATGCTGATGACACAAGCTCCAAGTCACATCCTATTATATATAATACCCCAAATAATTGCAGGAGCATCTTTCAACACAAGATTAGATGAATATATACAATGCATGAACACATAAATTCAACATTTCTATTTGTACTGAATCTTTCCTGTGGCAATATTTCTGCATTCTTTCAATAACACTGTCAACTTTTAAACACTTTATTAAAATAATCTTCCTTTAAAAGGAAAATTGCTTACCACCCAGATGCGCTCATAAACACATAGGAAATTAATCCTATCAAACACCTCCTGTGGCTAGAAGTGAACTTATTTTTTTCCAAAAGGGGTGATAAGTGTGTTTGAGATAAACTTACTCCCAGTTCTCCTTTGTCACAAAGGGCACAACTTGAAAAGCTAACTCCAGGATCAGGGTTGTGCTGGCAGAGACTGGATAACAGCTTCAAATGAAGCAAACTGGTCTACATGGTGATTGAACCTGTAATTCTGATATCAAATCAGAACTATACTACTTTAGGCTAAAGGTCATTTGGCCAATACTCTTTAGATTTTATTGGCACATGCTCCAATCATCAGAACTTGCCAACTGAAACTATAAGGTTAGATATTATATGATGATAAAGTGGAGGTCTACAAAACATTTGCCTGGATCAGCACATCAGGAATATGACCTTCTGTTAAGTCAATAAGAATCAATATCACTTCCTCTTTGTTGAATGCCCAGGCCATGGTTCAAGAGTCTCCAGCGTTTTGTTGAAGTTAGCCCTTGGCTTCATCTTAGGTTTGAAGGACAAGGGCCAGGTAAAGACAAACCTACATCTGGAGAATGAGTGTCAGCATCAGTCTCTTTAGGTAAAATCTGACTGTCCACATGGATATGTTTTCCTAGGAAAACTGATTAATCAGGTCTTCCCTGGGCTCATTTTTGCTGTCCAGTGCATATCTGGAAGTAGTACTTCCTTCATCTCCATCTCCATTGCCACAATCCTCATTTTTCCCAACACTGAACTATGCATGCATGCAGTGAAGTCGAGCGATTTTTACCACGAACACTTATTCACTCAAACCTCGGCCATACCATGAATATTTTACTCGCTGCTCCATCACACACCTGTCTGTCTATCCACCCCTCTACACACTCTTATTTCCTAATGTATTTCAAAGAAGATTGCAAGACATAAGTCCATAATCATCATTTTCAGCTCTTTCTCTTCCTCATCAGATTTTTGTCACAATTTTCATGAAGAGGTTTTTTTTAATACACCCTGCATGAATAATTTTAAAAAGGAATTTATACAGAATTCCAGAGCTAGAAACTTCCATCCAAACCAACCCAGGGCTCCCAATTCACTATCCATTTTCTCCTCTTTTGTTCCCATATGAAAGAGCTGGGTTTTTCCCAGGTTGATACTTGATTACCTATATTTTCCAAAAATTAGAAAGCTGAATAACTTTCAACAGAAGAAAAGTCTGCCATCTGTCCTTGATATTAAAGATCTATTTATATAGCTGGGAACATTCCTTGTCAAACAATGGCATTCTGTTTTTCTCTTTTTTTTTTTTTTCCTGATTTTGGATACTCTCCATACCACTTCCTTGCAAGTTTCAATTTTGACATAGAATTAGAGGATTAGAAAGACTTTAGAAGGTGACTTAAGAATTCCATCTAAATTAGTGGGCTGAGAAAAAAAAGTGTCTCTGTCCACTCCTGAAACACCACCAATATTTAAGTAAAGGAATTAAAAATATACAGGGGCACTTCAAAAAAGTTCATAGAAAAATTTGATTAAAAGATCAGTTTATTCAAGAGTGTCAGTTTGTTAAGTCAACAACAGGAGTCACTGTGCACATACTCCTCATGTAGGATCTCTGTCCTTAATGTGTTGTACAATGTGAATTAATGCTATAGCTAGTACTCAAATAGTACTTTACATTTTGTGTTTCTGTGTGGGTGAAAACTGTTGAAATCTTTACTTAATATATACTAAATTGATCTTTTGTATATAAAGATAATTGAAAATGTATCTTGATGTGAATGGAATGGGAGAGGGAGCAGGAGATGAGAGGGTTGCGGGTGGGAGGAAGTTATGGGGGGGAAAAAGCCACTGTAATCCAAGAGCTGTACTTTGGAAATTTATATTTATTAAATAAAAGTTAAAAAAAGATCAGTTTATTTTGATGTAAAAATTGAAATCCATACATGGTTTTTTCATAATACACATTTTTATATAAACTTGTTGGAGGCCCCAGCTGTAAAGTCAGAAGGCAGAAAGCAGGTGTAGGGAAGAAAGCTGACCATCGATGTCCAAGTGTGAGAGGTCTGACACTGGGCAGAGACATGAAACTCACGTGGCCAAGCAGAGGAGGCAGAAATCCACCTGCTCCCACAGGAGGCGATGAAAAGTAGCAAACACGTTTGCAAAAGTTGGGAAAGACTCAGGGCCTTCATGCATAAGGCAAGTAGGCGTTGAAGACCCAGGGGTTACTTAAAAGACTACACTAGGGTACCCCAAGTCCCCCCCCCCTTAACACAGGAAATTAAGTAGTTTTTCTCCAAGAAAATGCCAGAATGCGTAAGTGGGAAAACGTCAGTGTCTCAGGTAGGAAACACCACACACAACGGGGAGAAACATGAGGCAGGCTTTGGAAAACGGGCATGCCACGTAGGTCTCCACGCCACACGGGGAGGTACCATTCTCCTCTTTCCCTTCCTGCTCTTACGATGCATATGCCCCAGGCTGTCTGGAGAAATCGAGCTACCTGACAGAAAAGACATAAACACCAATGAGTGGGGTTTCCTCCAAGAAAAGATCAAGTGACCACCAAATCGTTTTATATACAGCAGGTAGCAAGAACACCCATGCACACACACAAGTCAGCTTTTGTTCTTAAAAATATTTATTTTATTTGAGAGAGAGAGAGAGAGAGAGAATCTTCCATCTGCTGGTTCACTCCCCAGCTGCCCACAAGAGATGGACTGCACCAGGTTGAAGCCAGGATCCAGGAACGCCATCATGCACTGCCTTCCAGGTGTATTAGCAGGGAGCTGGATCGGAAGGGAAGGAGCTGGGACTCAAAGCAGGCACTCCTTCTGAAATGAAAAGAGGGGCCAGTGCTGTGGCATGGCCATCCCATATGGGCACAGAATCCAGGCCTGCTTTTCCACTTCCAGTCGAGCTCCCTGCTAATGCGTCTGGGAAAGCAGCAGCAGATGGCCCAAGTCCTTGGGTCCCTGCACCCTCGTGGGAGACCCACAAGTTCCTGGAAGAAGCTCCTGGCTCCTGGCTTCAGATCCGGCAGTTGCAGCCACTTGGGGAATGAATCAGTGGATAGAGGATCTGTCTGTTGCTGCCTCCCTCTATCTCTGTAACTCTGCCTTTCAAATAAATAAATAAATAAATCTTAAAAAGAAAGGAAACAAAGAACATAGAAGAAATATAAAACAAAAGACACAGAAGAGTGCTTCCAAAAAATCCATCCTTGGGTGAGTGGCACAGTGGGCTGTCTCTTCCCCACCCCCTACCCTGCCATCACCACCACCATCTCCCCCACGCCTCCCCCCACTGTCCCTCCTGCCACTTGGGATACCCACATTGTAATCATAGTACCTGCTTGAGTACTGGCTCTTCCATTTCCGATCCAGTTTCCTGATAATGTATCCCGGGAGGCAGAGGATGGCCCGGTAGCCAGGTCCTGCCACCCAGGTAAGAGACCTGGGCTGAGTTCCAGTCTCCTGGCCCAGTCTTGACTTCTGCAGGCATTTGGGTTCTCTCTCTCTCACTCGCTCTCTCTCTCTCTCCTTCTACCTTTCAGGTAGATGAAAGTAAGTATGTGTGTGTGTATATATATATATATTAAATCTACCATTTGGTGCACACATTTAGCCTAGTGGCTAAGACATCAGGTAAAATGCCCACATGCTACATCCGAGTGTCTGGGTTCCTAGCTCCTGTTCCTGATTCCAGTTTCTTATTCATGCTGATCTTGGGAGGCAGCAAATGATGACCCAAGTACTTGAGTTCCTGCCACCCATGTGGGAGACCTGGACTGAGTTCCTGGCTCCCTGCCCTGACCCTAGCCCTGGCCCTAACCCTGACCCTGACCATGGCTGGTGTGTGTATTTGGAGACTGAATCAGCAGAAGGAAGCTTTCTCTCTCTGTGTTTATCTTTTTGTCTCTATCTCTCCCCCTCTGTCTGCCTCTCAAACAAACAAATAAAAAGTTTATCATTCAGTTAGTCAAAAAGGGAAGAGAAAATAATATATACATAATAAAAGAACACAAAGATATAAAAAAAGTAATCAAAGACTATGAGGAAGTCTTGGCCATTTGAAGGCCAGCACTGTGGCGTAGTGGGTAAAGACGCTGCCAACAGTGTCTGCATCCCATATGGGGGTCATTTTGAGTCCTACTTGCTCCACTTCTGATCCAGCCCTCTGCTGTGACCTGAGAAAGCAGTAGAAAATGGTCCAGGTCCTTGGCCCCCTGGTGGGAGACCTGGAAGAAGCTCTGGCTCCTGGCTTTGGACTGGCCCAGCTCTGGCCATAGTGGCCATTTGGGGAGTGAACCAGTGGATAGAAGATTTTCTCTCTCTCTGCCTCTGCTTTTCTATAACTCTGCCTTTCAAATAAATAAATCTTTTTTTTTTTTAAAGAAATATGATTGCTGAAATAAGCTTACTAGAAGCATTAGAAAATAAAGATGAAGAAAAATCCCAGAAATCAGAACAAAAACCATCCAATAAACAATAGGAATAAAACATAATAAAATTTAGATCAATCCAGGAAGTCTAGTATCCAAATATTAAGAAATAGAAAGAAACAGGTGATCAAAATAATAATACAGGACATGTTCTTGATATTCAAGTACAGAAGTCTCAAGGTTGAAAGAGATCACCAGATATGCAAGATAATAAGTGAGAAAATAATATCCAGTCCAAGGACATCATGGTAACATTTCAGTTCACTGGAGACAAGGGAGGTTAGAATGGGCTCTCAGAAAGGGGGACTGAGCCACAGCCAAAGGGAAGGAGACATCTCGGTAGCAGCACTGCATACTGGCCACAAGGGCCAGCTATATAATTCGTAGGGCCCAGTGGAAAATAGCATGTGGTGTCCATGTTCAAAAGTTGAGAATTTCAAGATGACGACAGCAGAGCACTCATCCAGGGTGAGGCCCTGGAACCGAGTGGCCACATTCTGTTCAGCTACCAATCGTGCGGAGAGGTAAAGAGAAGACGCTGACTCTCCATGTACTTTTTCTTGGGAGATGTGCTCCAGCAGGACAAGGGATGAAGTCAAGAAAGAGGAAGCCAGGACCCAGCAAACCGGAGAACCTGGCACACAGGTCGGAAGCCGTAGCGGAAGAACAAACCTGCACAGCCTGCGGGGGAACTGTGATCCAGAGCGCAAGGTTTAGGCAAGAGGAGGGCACAGGAGCACAGGCGGAGAATCTCCAACAGTTCGCTTGCTTGAGTCTGAGCCTGTTTCTCGGAGGATGTTCCAGCAAAGCTTATCTTGCATGTGTGCTCAGCGGGAGCCAGACCTCCACTGACAAGGAAAGGCTGCCAGAGACCAGCCCGAGTCAGAGTTTTGAACACATGCAGTAGGAAGTTAGTGCGTGAAAGCCTTGGCAAGCTGACTGTCAAGGAGGAATATTCTCAAGGGGAGTCTACCTTCCCGTTGTCTAAATAAAGCCTTCTTCTGAGCAACTCCCAAGTGAGCGGGCCGCACCACTGTGTCTACCAGCATAACCGGCCTAGACCGGAACAGGGAGACAGAGAAGTTCTACAGTGAGGTATGGGGGAGGGGGGTGGAGCGGGCAGCCTTCCTTACAACACTCACCTCGTGGAGAACAGCCCACCTCGCAGAAGTGGGGGAGATCTGAGAGAGAAACCCTCAGGAAGGCCAGGCCAGGCATACTTAGCTCGTCCGTGTGACAGAGAAGATGCTCACGTCTCTCCCCATGGGAACCCATGGCCAGGGGAACGAAGGTTCTCCCCCAACAGGTGTTGTTGGAAACAAGCCATGGCAATGTTTTGAAACTGGCTGTAAATAATGCCAGCTGAAAGCAATGTTTTTGTCTGTCATAGACAAACTCAAGTGCAACATTCATGGAACACACTGCAAAAAGGAGGGTGCTCACCAGCGTAGGAGTTAAAGGAGAGAACTACAAAGACGAAGAGAAAATGTGCCACCCAAGCTTAAGGAAGTTCTGGTTCCATAAATGTGTGGTCTGGGCGAATCCGGTGCTGCTATTCCAGAGTGGAGCATTTGCTGATAAGTCTGAGCCCTGCCCTGTCTATTTCGTCCCCAAGACCACCGCCCTTAACAAAGCAGTGAGGGTGGGAAGAGATGTGTACACGGTCCGCGGTGTTTAGTCTTTGGATTCACTTCTAGCAGTAAAATGTAATGTCAGCTTAGCCCACGTCCATCTCAGCCTTCCATTGCTTTCTCTACCTGCCTTTGTTCTGCCTTTGATTGTAGTTTGCCTGGTGACGCCCCACTTACATGTGTGAAAACAGCAGCAATCTTCTATTGGAAGAAACAAAGGAAAGACATAGAAGCAGCAGCTAAAGGACACAGAAAGAAATGACTTTGCTTTTCTGCTTCAAATTGGCGGGGTTGGGGGTGGATGTTGAGATTTGAAATGATGTTTCCATTTCAAGCCCTGGTGGCTTATTTAACTTGGGTGGATTAATTTACTGTGGGTAGTATCCTGGTTGATCATCCATGGAGAGGTAATTTTAAAAATCTTTGACCTTGTCAGTTTGAGGGTCACTTCAGGTTTCGAGTGTTGTATCTGCTATGTCACCTCCAATTTTCAGGAATTTTTCTTGCTTCGAGATGTTGACCTTGGCGATTCTCAGTATTTATTACAGACACGTTTCTTCCTACTACAATTCTTCCATCCTTTCAAATCTTTTACCCATTTTTCCACTTGTAAAATACATCATATTTTCCAGAAAGGGACTTTACCTTTTGATAGCGTAGAGAGAAGAGGAAGAGAACTAATATGTATTACACTTAGCTTGTGCTCAACAATGCCCTAAGAACTTCATAAATGATCTCACGTAACGCAACAACCAAATATGCACCACTGTTCCTTCCAACAAATCTGGGAAAAGGGGCTCAGCTTAGGTTAGGCCATACACCCAAAGACAAACAGAACAGAGATTCAAACCCAAGTCCAATTTCAAAGGCTTTTTGTTCTACCACATTTGACATTCAAATACCTCTGAATTTAAAATCCTCATAAAAATACACAGCTGTACTTAAAATATTTTATACTCACAACAAGCTTTTTCCATTATAGATTATTTTCCCAATGAGCTCACTAGAGTAGTGAACACTAAACTATCTACTTCTTTAGGAATTTAAATCTTAATTCTCTCCTCGACCCTTCAGACTGAAATACTCACTTCAGGATCTATTATGGACTGGATCGTTTCCCTTCCCCCAGAACACTCCTGCCCTAGCTCTCCACCTAAATTCATCTGCTTATGTCCTAACCTTCCTTTGACAATTAAGACTTTGGGAAATAATTAGGTTTAGATGAGGTCATGGGGTGGGGGGAGGTTCTCATGGTGGGATTTGTGCACCCTGTGAGGGCACGGTAAGAGGACAGCCACTTGCAAGTCAGGAAGAGGGACCCTCACTAGAACACAACCATGCTAGCTAGCACTGTCATCTGAGACCTCCAGTGCCCAAAACTGGGAGAAAGAAGTTTGCTGTCCAGGCCACATGGTCTATGATGTTTTGTTGTGGCAACCCTTGCTAATGCAGAGTTCTTTCGCATTCTGTCCAGGGCATGTACTCTTCAGACACTGTGTGAGTCGCTTAAATTCCTCCATGTTGTAATCCTCAATGGATATCCCAGGAACCACTTGATGGGCCAAGAGCTGAATCAAAAACGCAAAGATTTTTATTTCTTTTGGATATTTTAGGAAGGGTAAAGAGCTACTCACTAGAAAACTGCTCGGTAAAAGGTTACTGAGATTTGATATTCATAAATTAAAATGATCACTTCAGAGTTCACTAAATCTACATAGCAATGCCAAGGGACTCCATAGTAAAACTTGTAGTATGTATATATTTATGCAGATACTTAGAATCATATATTTTCAGGGGAAAAATGCTCCATTATGAGTTTTAATGGCATGAATGTATTTTTTGCTTTTTTAAGGAAAAAAAATAAGTATAGGGGCCAGCGTTGTGGCATAAGAGATAAAGCCGCTGCCTGCGGTGCCAGCATCCCGAATGAACACTGGTTCGAGTCCCAGCTACTCCACTTCCAATCCAGCTCTCTGCTATGGCCTGGGAAAGCAGTAGAAAATGGCTCAGGTCCTCGGGCTCCTGCATCCACATGGGAAGACCCGAGGAAGCTCCAGGCTCCTGGCTTTGGATCGGCACAGCTTTGGCTGTTGCAGCCAATTGGGGAGTGAACCAGTAGATGGAAGACCTCCCTCTCTCTCTCTCTCTGCCTCTCCTCTCTCTGTGTAACTCTGACTTTCAAATAAATAAAATTTTTTTTAAAAAGTATGGTACAGAGAGCCATGTACCCTTCACCTAATCTCTGCATTGATCACTTGTGACACAGCTATAGTACAGTATCAACACCAGAAAACTGACACTGGCACAACGTGTGTCCCATGTCATTTCATCCTACATGGAGATGTAACCACCACCATGGTCAAGATAAAAACTACACCAGCACTCCACACATCTCCTTCATGCTGTCCCTTTGTAATCCCACCCATGACAATCCCCCCCACTATCTCTAAGCCCTGACAACCTCTAATTTGCTCTAAACCTCTACCGTTTGGCCATTTCAAGAGTGTTGTGTAATGGAATCATAGTGTTGACTTTTTTCACTGAGCATAATGACCTTGAGAACCATCCAAGTTGTTAGCATCGGGTCCCATTGCACTGCAACAAATTACCACAAACTTAACGAATTAAAACAATACAAATTTATTATATCTATTATCTTCTACTTCTGCAGGTCAGAAATCCAAAATCACTTTCTCTGGGCTAAATCCAAGGTGTCAGCAGAGCCGTATGCTTTCTGGGGGCTCTAAGGAGAAATTTGTTTCTTGGCTTTATTCCAGCTTCTCTAGTTGCCTCTACTTACAGGGTGGCTGTATTGTTTTATATCCCTACCATCAACACACTTGCCTGAGAGGTTGAATTTCCCTGCATCCTTGTTGGCATTTGGTATTGTCACATATTTGTTTAAATTAATTAATTTTATGGAAAGGGAGAGAGAGATACCACTGGTTTACTCCCCTGATGTCCACAGGGGCCTGAAACTCAACCCAGTCCCCCATGTGATTGGCAGGGACACAAGACTTGAGCCAGCACCTGCTGCCTTCCAGTGTGCACATCGATAGGAAGAAGGATCAGAAGCAGTGTTGCTAGGACTCAAACCAGGCACTGTGATATGGGAAGCCTTGGCCATGGTGGGCAACTGAGTTTCCACTCATGCCTTAAACTGAGTGTTGATATATATATTGACCTCAACAATATTTTTTGGTTTATTAATTAGGCTTTTGTAAATCACCCACAGGGTATGTAATACAGGTAAATCATCCACATATACATTTCCCATTTCCCAAAGTCCTTGTTCTGTCACACTTTGTCATCATCTACTGTTTCCCCCTGGGCCACAGGAGAAAGCAGGGTAAGAGGTTGTGGAGGTCTTTCACATAATTTAAATAAGATTATTTTTTAAACAATCGAAGATGCAATATTTAATACGTCATTTCTGATCTCCTAAAACACCTAATAAAAATCATCTCCTGTATCCCTTTAACAGGACAGTTGGCAAGGCTTTTTAATTGGCGACATCCTATTTGTTCATGTTTTTGTTCTTCTAATAACCCTGAAAGATTGGCAGAATAAGTTACAGAGATAAGATAAATTGGCAGGCCAGCGCTGCGGCTCACTAGGCTAATCCTCCGCCTTGCGGCGCTGGCACACCAGGTTCTAGTCCCGGTCGGGGAGCCAGATTCTGTCCCGGTTGCCCCTCTTCCAGGCCAGCTCTCTGCTGTGGCCAGGGAGTGCAGTGGAGGATGGCCCAGGTGCTTGGGTCCTGCACCCCGTGGGGATCAGCGCGCTGCGCCAGCGCGGTACACCGGCCGCAGCGGCCATTGGAGGGTGAACCAACCGCAAAGGAAGACCTTTCTCTCTGTCTCTCTCTCTCACTGTCCACTCTGCCTGTCAAAAAAAAAAAAAAAAAAATTACCGTGGTTCAGAGGGGTTAGGTGATCTTTCCAGTGTCAAACAGTTACTGAGGACCAGATATTCCAACAGTAAACCCCACGAACGAACAGCAACTGTTTGAAATAAAAACAGCATGTGGTAGTAAAGCTAAAAATTACAATTAGAAATCTGAAAAAAAAATCAGGTGTCAGTAAACATACACTAATTCAAAATGACCACTTCAACTACGGTTGTCTATTAAGGTTGAACAAAACAAATTTCTGATACATTCTCCTTCAAGACTAGAATGAAGAAAAGGAGAGTTCAAATTTGTTTCCTCTGGGCAGGAAAAGTCACTCCTCTTCCTAATAGGAGACCAGCTGAAACCACCGGGACAAGTCACGTGATATGGGTGAACGACTCTCCTGGCCTGCCATTCCCCCCACATCACAGCTGGAGCTCAGGGGTGCAGCCATTGCTCGCCCTCTAAGACCTGTAACTCCATGAAGAGACCAACGAGCACGGTGGAGATGGAGGAGCCAGCTGGGGAAGGCTTCCGCAGAGCACTCTTCTCCACGGGCTTATCTGTCATAGCGACTCACGGGGCAGAGGTTAACAAACAAAGGTGTGCCATGTTTCTCAGAATGATTTTCCAGCTCTGAACTTGCACTTGTGAAGGTACCTTCCCCAAAATTAATCATCTTGAAGTAATGGAGGTTACACTTTAGAGCTCTACCAATAAGACTCTTGATTTTCCTCCTGGGAGTAAGAAAAATGGGTTCCCTTGGGTTGAGCCAGTTCAAATGCCCGACAGAGTTAAACCAGTCCCCAGTTGACCTCTCAGCCCCAAGAGTACATAGCCAGGGAGGAGAGTTCATTTTTAATATCCCACTTCTCCTAATCCATTATCCATGATAATCCATTGTGTCCCCTGGGTACTTAATCATCAAAGCCACCATAAACCTCTTTTTGAAGATCAAATGGTTCTTTAATCCATTTACTTAGAGCATCCTGAGTTATAGAAAATTAATCAGAAATATAAGTGGGCCACTATTCCAAGTTTCTCCCCGAGCCTGTTAACAAGGTAACAAATCGGCAATGGCTTATGTGCCAGGTGGGTCAAAATGTGGAACAAATCACCTAGGTCGGTTGCTTTTCCCTGTGCTCTGCCTCCTAACTTACCTCTCACTGGCTGCCGGCCCGCCTGCCTTCCCAGAGTCCCATCGATGAATTAACAAAACTCAGCCAGCCCGAGAGCTAATTAGACTTTAAACTTTCCAGTGAGGGTGCCATTAATTCTCATCTTCACTTCTGCTGCAGGTCAGCTGAACCCATTTACAGAAATCACCCTAGGTCTCTGAACTCTCAGAGAAGTAAGAAAGCAGTAATTTTCATTAAGCAAAAGCGCTGGGTTCCAGGCCAAGTGTCCCTCTCCCCTGATTCGTGTCCTCTTCCCTCATTACCGAGGGGCTGTGTCAAATAACCCCCAAAGTGGCCACAGACAGGTGTGGCCACTGGGAAGCCTCTTGACCTCAAGGAAGCTCAAGGTCACTACCGCAGCGCTCTCTACACTTCTCAGCCACTCGGTTAAGAGAGAGGATAATCACTTCTGAGCCACTCAATAAAAGAAATTTAGATTGCATATTAACTAGAAATGTTATACTAGCATTATCCTTTATAAGGATTTCCTTTGCCAGAGGAGCTGGATTAACGTGAACACAGAAAAACTCCTGACTCTGATCACGAGAAGAGGCTTTTTAATTATTCATCATGCGGTTCTTTGGCTAAGGGAGAAAAAAGCCACCTTCTAAATAAAAACCCATTCACAGCATGACTGCTGCAAAGATCTGCGTTTTCCATGTCCTTCCTGAATATCTACTCAGCACAAGGCCTCTGATGTGAAATCTATAGGAACCAGTACGGTTAGGATGGTTGTAAGACAAAGGATGATCAAATGAACCCAGGCACCCAAGGAGAAGGCCTGGCGACAAGGAGCAAGCAGCCCAAAGGGAGGCACAGTGCAGCTGGGCCGAGCGATGGGCTGCTCGGGATGAACTGGCCTCTCTGAGCTGGACCAGAACAGTTGTCACTCAACACCTCCTGCTGTCTGCCAAAGAGGGCCTCGCCCTGATTCAGGCTGCAAGCAAGGCGTAGACAAAGAAGGGAGGCAGGAAAGGCAGTGGCACGACCCTGACAAGCAGAAGAGCTCAATGCCCAGAGAAGGGCTGAGAGGGCAGAGCCTGGGCTTCAGGATCTGGATGAAGCACACGGCTGTTGAGGATGACCCGTCGGACTCCCCTCCCCAAAGCTGGGTGCTGCTCCAACCTTGCAGACCTGGCCTGACCCTGGAGGGCACAGGGGCTCCTTACACACTCATTACCTGATTCTGTGGTCTCTCGCATGTGGCCTCAAAAAGACATGGTTGATGACTGCTAACATGGAATGTTTGTGTCCCTCCAAAATTCACATTGAATCTCAAGTCCCTAAAGCGATGGCATTTGGAGGTAATTCACGTTAGATGTGGTCACGAAGGTGTGGCCCTCGTGATGTGGATGGTGGCCTTATAAGAAGACACTCCAGAGAGCTCACTATGCCTCTCCTCTCATCCCGTCTTCTTTTCCTCCTCTCTCCTCTCCCTGCCATGTGAGGACAGCAGGAATGAAGCCATTTCCAAGCCAGGAAGAGGGCCCCAGCCGGGGAACTGAATCGGCTAGCACCTTGATTTGGGATTTCCCAGCCTCCAGAACTGGGAGAAACAAATCGCTGCTTTTCAGTCTGTCTTTTGTTGTGGCAGCACAAGCCGACTGAGATGCTGACTCACTATGGAGAAGGGTCATGACAGAGGGCGTGTGTGGTACAGCCAAGAAGTCATCTGGGAAAGCAGGCAGGGTGAAACTGTATTGCCCACTGCACATGCATTCTGGCTACAGAGAGCAAACCTGTGCATCGGCTTCCTCTTCACTTGTGTAGCTTTCACCCCAGAGAGCAAGGCTCTGTGATTCCATAAGGCTAAGAATCAAAGAGATGATGATAAACCTACGGGAAGACAGTCCAAGTCCAAGTTCACTTGGCGACATGGCTTCTCTGTTCATATTAGCACGCAGCCCAATCTGTGGCCACGCTGGCAACCCTCACAGGAGCCCCTCGCTCACTCCCAGGCTGCCCTTCCTGGAGGGCTTTTGGTGAAAATAGCATCTTTGCTCTATTCAAGTTCCTGCCATTAAAATACTTTCCAAGAAAGAGTGTGTCTCTCTTTGTGTCTTACAAGGATCTCATTTCAAACTCTAGTTTCTATCCCCTAATAACAACATGACTTTGAGCAAGAAATCGAACCATGTTGATTTATAAAATGGGTTATAATGCTAGGGAACTTCAAAAAGTTCATGGAAAAGTTGCATTAAAGGTTCTTCTGGTGCAAAATCATTCTGAAATCCATGCATGGTTTTTTCACAATACACATTCCCACGCACTATTTGAAGTCACTTTGTACCTTCTTCTTGGGCTCTTAGTGAGAATTTAATGAAATAATGCGTACAAGGCATCCTTGTTGCAAGGATCAGCAAAACGCTCATGTGATGTGCCTAAAAGGAAGAGGAGTGATATGGCAGTGGGACTGGAACGGAAGCTCTCCAAGACGCAGAGGGTAGCATGTGCCTTGCTCCCTTACAGCTGGGAGTTCAGCCTGGGCATTGCAGCCATTCCCCTGAACCACTGCATCATCCAGCTGCCCGAGCCCATCTGCTTCTACTCTTGATTAAACGGCCAGGGGAAGAGTCTCACGACAAGCAAATATTTTCTGGCTGTTGCCTAAAAGCAACAATTTTTTTATTATCACTGCTTCCCTTCCAATTGCTAGTGCTTTTAATGGAATTGCAGTAGTAATGTTGTCCCAAGGTGATGGGCTACTACGACTGAGTCATATCCTCGGATTCTGTTTCTTTTATTAAACAACAAGTGGGACACAGGCTCATCTCATGAATGCTAATGGGATCGAGATCGTTGCCCACTGGAAAAACGCGTTCTAATTGAGTGGCGAGAAAGCGCGCCTTGCCACACTGAACAAAAGGAAATCAATAGACTTCAAAGGATTAGAGTTCCCAGAGGCGGGAGGCGTAAGAGAAGTAATGCTGGGTTATCAACCTAGTGGTTTTGAAAACTATTTCAAAAACTCTCCTTCCATATATATACATATATAGATATATAGCTAGAGATACACACACACACACACACACACACACGAGGGGCTCATGTAAGCATCGTATTTTTCTTGTCAATGAAATGTCAAAGCAACTTGACCAAGTGTTCGGGTGAGCACGTGGTTGCAGCCTCATTATGCACACTCTGCAAGCTTGCTTAACGATCAGCTACTTATTTTCCTCAAAGACCTGGCATCTTCCTAAATGGGAATCAGGCCAGGGTATTTATTTAAGCTTTTCAGGCTTAGTTATCCCTCCTGTCCAAACCCTCCTCCCTCCCAACATCGCCAACTGCCTGTGACATGCTTGGGTGCCCCATGGCCTTTGTCATGTGTCCCTCCCAAAGGAAAGACAGATTCCAGCCCCCTTTCTCTGTCTCTCCACCTCTACATCAAGAAGAGATCCCTGCAATTTACCTTGATTATTTGTGCAAAATGAAAACAGCCACGGGCAAGGTGAGTTAGCAACTGCTTCCCATGTAAGACGCACAACACAGTGATACGGGCAACTGGGCAGGCATCTGAAGCACGGCTCTTACACTGAGGCTATTGATAGGCACATCTTGCCTTCCAAAGGAATCCAAGCAGTAGCACTGCAGCGTGCAGAATCTTCATGCAATATGCTAGAGGGTAATGTTGTATGCAAGTGGGTTGCTTTATTAGCCTTGGCCTTGTGGCCGTGAGAGAGAAGCACAGCCAGAGAGGAGAGGGCTGTGCACTTGCTGAATCAGGTATCGATCGAGCACTGCCATGTGCCAGCTAGCAAGCACTAGCTTTTCTAAAAGACTAAAGCAAGCCACCACCTCCTCTCTGCAAGGACAGGCTTTTGTGGACAAGGCAATATTTATGTTCATTCCTCTTGACCATAGACAGTAAGGCACAATTTACTGCAAGTTGTATTGTTCAAATGACTACACTAGGGTTATAGGCAGGAATTCTTCTGCGGCTGTTGGGAGGGCTGTGACCAGACGTGAAGTCTTTCTTTATATACGTGGTTCAGCCAATTACCAGCATTTAGCTACTGAATTCTCAGGGAGGGCATTTGGTTCAGCAGCTAAGTCAGTGCTGGCACTCACATCCTGCATCAGAGTGCGCGGCTGGAGCACTGGCTCCTCTGCTTTCGATCCAGCTTCCTGTTCATGCATCCTGGGAGGCAGATGATGGCTCAAGTACTGGGATCACTGTCACCCACATGCGAGACCAGGATGGAGTTCCTGTCTCCTGATGCCAGCCTGACACAGCCCTAGCTGTTGCAGGCATTTGGAGAATAAACCAATGGATAAAAGATCTCTGTCTCTCTGAAAATAAATAATTTTTAAAAGAATTTCCAGAATTCTGACACCACCCCCCCGCCGCCTTAAAAACATTTCTAACCATCTCGCCACTCACAGACAAAGGAAACAGTATGAAAACAGCCAGACATGTGTTAGGCAGAGTGACACGGGGCACCTGCAGCTCCAGGTGCTCTGTGGATCAGAAATCCAAAGATATCCAAAAGCTCTCCCCTTGCCGTCGTCTACTATGAAGGCTGTAGGTGGGTGTTTATTTCCTTGTGGCTAGAAGTGTCTGAGTCACATGGTTCTAGCCAATGCGATAAAGGGAAAGTCATGAGCGGAGCTCTCAGGGAAGTCTGCTGAGGGGATGGGTTGCAAGGCACAGCTCCTTACCCAGCGTCCTTTGGCCCTCTCCTTCCCCCCTTGTCTCCTAGGAACCCCTGGGGATACAGCAGCCATTGAGACATGAAAATTAAAGCCACCCTTAAGGAGAACAAGGAGGATAACAAGGAGGACTTGTCCTCATTGGCATTTGGAAGTGTGATACTTGTCCAGGGGCATTTGCCTCCAGAACGTTCCGTTGCCTATAACAAATTGACCCATCCTTAGATGAAATCTTGTCTGTTAAGTGTTCTGTTGCTTGCAGCTCTGTGCCGCCCTGATGGGTGCATTTACTCTGTGCATTCAACATCTGCCAGTTCTTCTCTGTCCTGTCACTTATCCCAGGGACAGGTGTTTGGATCCATCTCCGTGCACACCTCTCTGGGCTTGTACTGCTGCTACCAATCTCAGCCAAATCTGTCCTTTGCCAAAGTTTGAGAACTGCAATGATTAATTCTTTTTTTAAAAAATATTTATTTATTTATCTGAAAGACAGAGTTACAGAGAGAGAAAGGGAGAGAGAAAGAAAGAGCGAGAGATGTCCTCCATCTGCTGGTTCATTCCCCAAATGGCCACAACAGAGCTGGGCCATCTAAAGCCAGGAGCCAGGAGCTTCCTCTGGGTTCTCCACATGGGTTCAGTGGCCCAAAGACTTGGGCCATCTTCCACTGCTTTCCCAGGCCATAGCAGAGAGCTGGATGGGAAGTGGAGCAGTCAGGCCTCGAACAAGTGCCCATGTGGGATGCCAACACTGCAGGCCAGGGCTTTAACCTGCTGTGCCACAGCACTGGCCCTGCAGTGATTAATTCTAGTTTTGCTTGCAATTTAAATTCTGAAATCTTCATTAGCATTGCATGTGTTTTTACTTGG